GAAATAAGTTGAAAGCTCGGACAATACGGAGAGGGCAGCAACAAAACGAAGGGAATGAAGTCGTCGTTGGGAAGAACAGGTATTTCGTAATTTGACGTTCGGGGAAGCTTCCAGTGAATGCCCTCGAGCTACGTCCGCATCGGTTTTACGTTTAAACGGGCCGACACACGCACGTTCTCTTAACGCGTACTAACACACACACACATATATATATATATACATATATATATAACATCTACATAATACAACTATATCTGTTCTCGTGTCAGACCCTTTTACTCGTACGCAAATGATGCCTCGTTTTCGCGTATACGTGTGATACATATATATTTCTATATACATATACATATATACATACACACTTGTATATACTTGTATACATATTGCCAAATTGCGTCGTCAAATTGCAAAATTGCATCCTTCCACGAAAGTGCAAATAACTTATTCGCGGATGAGTTCTACATTAGTGTGCATCTACTTTGTTTGAACTTTCATCTTCACGAAAAGTACAAATGCGAAATAACAGAAATACAGTAAAACGTGACATTAGTATAATACAATTTTAAAATTGTAAAAAACTTTTGTATAATATGACAACGTATAACATTTTTTTTTTCTCTAACACGGTTTAAAGATTTAAACAAATATTTAAGAACGTGAAACAGAAAAATAAAAATAAATCACGAATCTGTGATCATAAATATAATCACAAGAATTTATTTCTTCTGTATAAACTTTGAAATATGAATATTTTGTCGTGTATTCCCCAATTTCGTATAATAATAATAATAATAATAATTTGAACTAGATGCAAAACTAGTTTTAGAACTCTGACACAACCCTGACACAACCCAAACACTTGATTCTTTCTCAATATTCAGTCACACGCTAATTGATCAAATAAATTAGATAAAATACTTGAATAAATATTATATTGAGTTGTCCGGAAAGTTCGTGTCGATTTTCGATAGATGGCATTAAAGTTCTTTTGCTAAAAAAGAAAAAACCTGAAAAGTTCTGAAGAGACAAAATTTTGTAGTTACTCTTAAAGTAGTTACTCTTAAATCCCTAAAGAAAGATCTTTCAATACGATTAGATCGTAGATGTTGAAATTAATCCCTTTACCTTTGAGAAAAACGTTCGAGGGATTCGATCGTTTGTCTTTTACTCGCTCGATCGAGCGTAGAATTAATTTATCTTGGCCGATTCGCATTGAACAATCGTTTAATCGTCACCCTCTCCTCCCTCAACCATCTCACACCCCACAATTTCGTTTCAAGTTAATTTACACGCTATGGTAGAATCAATTGTTGTTTTCTTTCAAGGTTTAACGCTTTTATTTCGAGAAAAAACAATCAACCATTTAATTTTACTTTTTCGTATCCTTTTTCAACGAATGATACACATTGCCGCAAAATGTTAAAGGAAGGGATCGTATTTTTATACTTTTTTTTGCTTTTGGTATTTACAAAAGAAGGAAAGTGAATGAAAGAGAGAGAAAGAGAGAGAGCTTTGTTATACCGGATATACCGGATACTACACACGTTTATTATCGTTGTTAGTGGTAATGAGAACGTCGATTTACGAGAGGAAACATGTTCCGATGGCTATAATTTATTTCTCGCTTCTAACAGATCCCTTTTGCTCTTATCCAATGTTTTTCGAAATATTTATTTTGTATTAAATTTTATCTAATAATCGTTATTTACAAGACCACAATTGAAAAAAACAAGAATTAAAAATATATAAGCAATTGGAGATAATAATTAATGAACCTTTTTTAAGATATTATCATATAACGAACTTGCAAGATAATTTTTTTTGATAAGAATAAATAATTGTCAAGTAATTAAGAATATAGATATTCAATGTAACCGTAAAAAATTTTACGAACGTTTGTCTTAACGAATACATTTCTAAGAGGGTGCGAGAATACGTTGGCACGTACCTGTGAAACGGTTCGTACGTTAACATAAAAAGCAAAAGAAGTTAACTCTCGCATATGTAGGTAAGAAAAGAAGAGTATAGTGCATCGTTATTCGAAAGATACTACACACCTACACGAGAAATGCAACAATGCAATCCCTTGAGGGCACGCAATAATTAATTGCGCCCTCGCGGTTACAATGCCGGGCGTGCGGGGGAGAAAAAAAAAGAAAAGAGTAGGAATAGAGTAAAAGGGCGTAGAAAGAAAAAAAAAGAAAGAGAGAGAGAGAGAGAAGATGGGTTGAGAGGGGGACAATCTTGGCGCATTATTTCGTGGAAAAAAATCCCACGAGTCGCGGCCCGTGACTGTGCTGCCATCTTAAATGTCGGCTTTAACTTTAAACCCTTATCGTGGTCGTGTTAAGCGAATGGGAACGTATTATGGAATTTGCTTGTGACCGTGCTTAATTAAGGTTCACCTAACACTGATGTGAGTAAGAAAGAGAAAGAAAACACGAAATAACTTCCGCGTTCGCGCGCGTGCGTGCATGCATGTGAATTTTGGTTACCTTTAAAATACCATACGAAAAAACTGTTTTTTCTTTTTTTTTTTTTAACATCCTTTACTTTTTCTTTTCGTTAATTTGGCAATCGAAAAAATTCTCATTGTAAGGATAACAAATTTTTTATCGCACGTTTAAAAATTCGACGAGATCTTCTCGATCATTGTCAAACGATTGGTTATTCATCATCAATCAATCCGTTTTTTGTTTATTTTAACTTCTTCAGGGGCTCTGGCAAATATAATATGGATACTTTCATTTTCAGTTATTTCATTTTATTTTAATTTGCCATTAGGCTTGTGTATATATTATTTTCTTTTTATTGTTTATATGCTCATTATGAATTATTTATTTTTAGAAAAATGTTACCTCTTAAAAGAGGGATGCAAGATAAATTGCATTGTCTTACCTTTTAGAGGGATTATTAAATACAAAAATTAAATAAAATACATTAATGCATTAACTGCCAACTGCGAGATATCTCTTAGTGTGTGCTACAATTTTAGATTAATTACAAATGAATATTTGAGTAACTTAATATTATTATATTTTTCAAAATTTCATGTATTTTTTAAAATAAAACCTTGGCACAGAAAGCAAGACGCTTTAAATATGTCTGGCAGTTAGTTAATGGATTAACCGTACAACTTAAGCCAGTATCAATGAATTGGTAACATTTACCAATTTTCTATTCTAAAACAAACCATGCAATTTATTCGATTAATTTAACGTTGTTTCTCTAGGACATTTCAAATATATCGTGGGAATCGTAAAGATTGCGAAAAATTCCAAATAAATTTGTCGGTTCATATGAAAAGAGAAGAATCAGTTCTGAAAGTAGAAGTTTCTTCTGTTAATAATAATAACCACGTAAACTCTTCGAACTGTCCATGGTCGTATCCGTGAACGGCCCTGGGACCGCCCTTGTGCTTCAGCCTCCTCCTCCTCCTCCTCCTCTTTCTTCTCTTCTTCCTCCTCATCCTCTTCTTATTCCTCTTCCTACTCGACTGTGCGACGCGCGTTCGTGCTGCGAGATATATAAATTATACATGTAAATATACGGGCGGCCAGGAGAGCAGCCCCATGGTTGAGATCGAATCGTGAGATATCGAGACGCACTCTCGTGTGTGCTCGGCCACGCACACACCACCATTATCATCCTCAACCTTTCTTTCTCCTTCTTATATTTTCTCTTTCTCCTCCTCTTAACTCTTCTTCCTATTTCTTTTTCTGTTCAGCACCTTACGCACTACCCAACACGCACGATATGCTGAACGCACCTATAGCAAATGCTTTATTCCTTTGTTGTATCCGCTAATCCCACCCTTCCTCTACCATCACCTTCTTCAACCCCCCAGCCACCCCTCTCTTTCTCTCATCCAACACTACCAAAATATCCATCCTTATAATCCTTTCACGCATACCAATTCTTTCTCTACGATCTGCATGTTTCCTCATCGTTAACGTAATCTTCCGATTATTCAGCAAACCTTTTTTTTTTTGAACCTCGATACCTTTTTTGCATTTTATCTTCATCTTCTATTATTTCGATCCTTTTATTATCTTTCATTTATTTTTCTTATTCTTAGTAAAGTAATTGTATCTATTGAGTAATTGCAAACATTCCGTGTGACCGATTTTTATAAATTATAGAAACGTACACTATTAAATGTGTTAATGTTTTCTTTTATAATTATGTTATAATATTAATTGACAGTTATTTAAAAGTGGTCCACTCAGGTATAAAACAAGCAAGCAAACGTATTGTTCAATCCAAAATGAACGCAAATCTAATGTTCTCAAAATATTTATAAAAATAAGGGAAACGATAATGTTACGAAAGGAAGAACCGTAAAAGAGAAAAATATGCGAATGTCTTAAAGAGAATAAAGTAAATGAAATTCATTTTAAGACAAGAACAAATGAAGATTCAATTATTAGACCACACGAGATAACTTCACGTTATTATTTAATACTAGATTTACGAATATTTTTCTATAAGTATTTCAGAGACAATCATTTTAATTAAGATGTAAATATTAGTTTATTCGATAATTGTATAGTGGTATTCGTGTATGTGTGTTTGTGCGCGTGCATTCATAACTTTTGAATATTGTAAATAAACTTACTAAAAATGAATTTGTCAATTATCGTGTTAATGTAACAATTGTACTTTTATCAAAAAAAAAGCAAATAAATAATTTAATTATATGCAATTTGATTTACTCTCTCTTTAGCTTTTTTTTTTCTTACCAAATACTTTACTATTTTATAGGATATAATAAAATTATAGTAGTCCATAGATACACCAAATTGTTTTGTTTTTTCACGAATACACAAGCATTCCCAAAGCATCGCAATATGAATTCTATGATTCAAGTGAATCACAGTTGCAAAATGAAGACATATTAAACTATTGCGAATAATGTTTTGAATAATTAAATAATTATGTTCAAAAATAACGCGAATAAAAAAGTGTCGATAAAAATTTGTTATCCAGTTTGTCAATAAGAATTAATGTTTCATATCAAAAATTATTACCGCGTATTTTTATTGACTATTAACTATTGGCTATTTTTATTGATGTATCAAAATACATGAAATATATGTGAATTAAATAAGAATTAAAGAACAATGTTTCATACATTATCTTTAAAGAAAAAGTAAAGAATGTTAAGATGTTTTTTGTTTGATATATATTTTTATTAATATATAATCATTTAAGGAGCTTTTCCACGTCCAAAACCTCCACGGAACTCTAAATCACCAGTTCCTGCACCAACATCAGTTTTCTTATCACCAGGTCCAGGAAGACCTCCAGGTCCTCTCCTGTACCCAGCACGGTCTTCTGTTGGTCTAGAAGCTTCGTTTCTTGGTCCAGCAGCAGGCCTAGGTCTTGAAGTTTCAGACCTTACTTGTCTCTTAAGTGTTGAAGGAACGATTTCTGGTGGTAAATGCAAGAATCCACGCAGATATTCGATTCCCTCATTTGTCAAATACCAATAGAAATGACGCCAGGCAAATTGTTCTTTAACGTAACCTCTGGATTTAAGGGACTAAAAAGTTTGAAAAGAATTATTTGTAACAATTATAGTTAGTAGAATCTAGCATTACACATTTGTTATGATAACTACAGCAAATTATAAGTTGTAAGTTTTGATTAGATTTAAACATATTTCATAAATGTTATTTATTTTTTTTACTAATATTTTATTTTTTGAATTCTTTAAAAATTTTTTAGAATAAATATTTGCTATAGAATAATACAACACCCAATTCTATGGTTTCCTTATACTTTTGCAATAAAAGATTAAATCTCTTTCAGATAATATAATAAAAAGTCTTATTTCGCTTTCAGTTGATTATGCCATATTTAAATAAACTTTCTTTTCTACCAATTGCATAAGCTTAGAAAAGTAATATTATAAATTTTTCGAGCATGATAGACAAAACTGGATACACACAGAGTTATTCTTCAATAATTGATAATACAAGCAAGAATAAGATGATTCTACATGAAAAATTAAATTGAAAATAAAGGAATAAAATTGTTTCATATAAGAATTTGTTTTTGAGAAAATTAAGTTTGAAAATTTATAAATATTCAAAAACTTCTTTTATACATATTTTTAAAAACCCATAAATTGTATGTAAAAGTTTGAAAACAATTAAGTCCTTATTCAATAACAATGCATACATATATGCATATGCAACATATGCATATTTAAATCATAACACAGTTTAATTTGACTAATGGTGATACATATACAGTTAAAATGCAAGTTCTCTCAATGATAATTTTTAACGAAATTAAATATAGTAATATATATTACCTGCATGGCTTTAATAACTTGCAAGTTTGGAATTTGCTCCAATTCAGGATGCTTCGGGGCATGGTAATCCTTTTTGGCTACCATAACACCTTCCTTGAAAAGGTATTCGTATATGGCAATACGGTTCTTTTTTGGCATCAACATTCTGAAAATAATGAAAATATTAAGTTTGATATTGTTATTAATAAAAATTAAGATATTAAAAATCACATAATATCAATGATATATGAGTTTGTTAGTTCATTATTTTTAAAGCATTAACAGATAGATGGTTATGCTTATAATACCAAACATAACCAATAAACATTAAAATATTTATATTTCTATCAAAAATGCATTACGTTTAATACTTTAGTATTATTATAACAAGATTATTAATATTTAATTAAAACATCTCAACTTTTCTAATTGTATAACCTAAGATATAGTCACATGTCTGAATTGAAAACTTCAATATTATAGAAAATATTGTATCTTTAGGAAAATATTAAATCAATATTATTAAATATGTTTAACAACATTAATTAATCAATAAAATTCGAATAAAATTTAAATAAAACTATAATATTATAATAAATATTAAAATAAAGATTCAACTTACTTGCTGCCTGTTTGCTGATCACTTTTAGAAGGAAAAGGTCTATAACATAGAAAGTAACATAGAAAAAAGTTACGTTTCCGTTATGCGTAAAGCATTGTACACAGGTAGTCAAATATTCTGAAAGCAGATGGCGCGACAATTGTCAAACATTGAATTAGATATTCTTCTCGCAGGTTTTTAATTACATAAAGAAAGAATAGATAAATGTTCGATCAGATAAATAATTACAGATGCGATTTAAATGCTTAAATAATTCTTTTACAGGTTTGTTTACGATTTGAAAATTAAAGAGAGAAAGAGAAAGTAAAGCTATGTTTAAATACCGTCACGTGGCGCTGCTGACGATTGATTCTATTAGTTGTTGTTTGGACAATTTCTTAGGGATATTTATTTGCTTAACCTGCACTCTAGTGGCTATGTAGTGTACTAATGGTATTCTTGGCGCCGACTATTATGTTGAACTTAAACATTATCTGCAGCTATCAAAATGCTCGATAAAAAAAAATATGTGAAATTTATAAAATATATTATTGTTTTATCTACTTGTGAAAGATTATCAAACTTTTTTCAAATAAATAAATCTAATTTCAAAATAAATTTTAATAAGTGTTTGTACAGTGAAATATGTAATTATATGAATACATTATTGTATATAGTATATGTATATACAATAAAATATATTAGAAATTATATAAATACTTTAATTTGTTTTTTTTTTTATCGATGCAATTCTAATAGACTTTTATATTGTTATTAATTTGCAATATTAAATTAATTCTGATTGGTTAAAAATAGCTCCTATATAGTAATATTCCCAGATGGATATCATCAGCTGATCATTCCAGTTAATGTATTATATTTTAAGTTAGATTTTGTAAATGAAATGCAATATGTTATATGTTTAGCAATTTTATATTATAAATAATGGAGGAAGAAAAAACAAAAATTAAAAAGGAAGTAGAAGAGGAGGAAGAAGGAGAAGAAGAAGTGGAAGAAGAAGAAGAAGAAGAAGAAAGAGAATTTTATTTTGAATCTGATCATTTGGCATTAAAGGGTAACAAAACTTATAATTCCCTTTTAAAAACCATTGTAATATTGGAGTCGCAAAGGACACAGGCTATTGAAGATTTGGATAAACTTTATGATGCACGTTCTAAAGCTATGAAGGATCCAATATCTTTTGTAGCACAATTACAAAATGGTGATTTACCAGAATTTCCAAGACCGCAAAAGATTGCTGATATTCCTTATATTGATTGGTCACAGTATAATATAACAATACCTGACACACGCATGAGACCACAAACAAGACATGGAAATGTAATACCACAAACACAAATTAACACCGAACAAGAAAATAGAAAGGTTATTATTTGTTTAATCAACTTGTCTTATTATTTATTCTTTAAATCATTTTTTGATATAATTTATTTTTACTTGTAGATTTTGGTAAGAGGACGTGCTTTTGATGAGAGTAAACCAGAAACTTTTAATCAATTATGGACCATAGAGGAACAGAGACGTTTAGAAGAATTGTTGATAGAATATCCACCTGAAGAAGTTGAGATGAGACGATGGACTAAAATCGCTAATGCTTTAGGTTTTTCAATAATTAATCATATACATGTTTCTTTTTACGGTTCATGTTTATAAAGTATTTTAATTATGTTTCTGTTTATAGGTAATCGTACTCCAAAACAAGTATCTAGTAGAGTACAAAAGTATTTCATCAAATTATTACGAGCTGGTTTGCCAATACCAGGTAGAGGACCAAAAATGAAATTAGATGTTAAGAAAGGTTTGAATCATCGTCATCAAAGACATAATTTCATGTTATTCAAACGTTCGACTTTCTTTCCTCATAATGATTTGTCATTTATTACAAATGATGACAGTAAAGAACATCCGATTACAGAAGAGCCTGTTTGTATTCAATTATTAGAAGATATTTGTATCTTATTTTTAATGTTAATATTTTTTAATTTTAAAATTGTAACTTCTTTCTTCTAGGAGGATGATATTGGAAATATTTGCACAAATGATAATTCTGAATTGAGACAGATAGAATTAATAAAACAAGTTAAGGCAGAAAAAGAACACGAGTCATATTCGGTCTATAAACACGTTGGATATAAAGTAAGTGAACGTTCTTTTATAAAAATATTTATTTAAATTGTATCTAAATTTGAATTTTTATTTTAGTGTATGGTATGTAGAGAGGAACCTTTAAAAGGTACAAGATGGCATTGTTTACAATGTCAAACTGGAGTTAATTTATGTGGTGATTGTGCTGTTGCTCAAATAGGAGCTGAAAATCCTACGCATGATCCATCGCATAGATTAATTCCTGTTAAACCACCTCAGTATAGTCAAAGTTACGACGTAGATTATTCTCCATTAAATTTTAATAATACTTCTTATAATTATAATTATCTTGATCCTAATTTTTTACCTGAATAACAAGATAATTATTATAAATTTTTTGTAGCATAGAAACAATCAATACTCAGCTATTGTGCATAAAATTCAAAATAATTTATTAAAATAATTTTAAGTACAAATTAGGAATCTTCTTTAGTAAACTTCAAATTAATTTTTTCTCTAAATTGATTGAATTTGTCTTCTTTTATACTTTGTCGTATTAATTTGAAGAATTCTATGTAGTGATGCATATTATGTCTAAAAGGATTAAAAATGATAATTTGATAAACCATATTAAATAAATGAAAACATTATTTTTTATGAATAGAATACGTACATCATTAATAATACCATTCCTAACAATTCTTTGGTCATCTGTAAATGATGCAAGTATGCTCTAGTATGATTTTTACATGTCAAGCATTCGCAATGTTCACATATCGGTGAGAAATCATCTTTATAACTGTTGGAATAAAAAATATATTTAATAGAAAAATTATATTAGCCTCATATTATTCATAGTCGGAAAAATTTACCTTTTTTCACTGAAATTCAATACATGACTTATATTCTTGCAACTATCATGATCACAAAGAAATGTTAAAGCTTCTGAACGTTCAGTAATTATGTAAGGATATGACGAGTCAAAAATATCAATACCTAAATTAATTAATTCTAATGTTACCAATGGATTCCAGCATCCTAAGGATACGCGTAGTTTATCAGCAGGTAATAAGTTCTACAAAAAAAAAAAAAAATAAGAAGTATTATATAAATTTTAAATCACGTTATGACGAACTAAAAAGATCAAAATTAAAATCGTATAAATCTAACTTACAATTGTATGTTCTATTACATTTTTAATTTGTTTCAATTGAATGTCTTTGACATCTGGTCCGTTTTGGTGTAAACCATCTATCACAAATCCAGCTAATGGTTTGTCTATCAAATATTCCACCGATTCTTTCCTAATTTGTAAATCATAGCCACCTTCAACTGCTCCTAATATACTTTTAGATTTTAATTTATTCGAAGCAGCATGTCTCCTTAAACATTGATCCGTTAAGGTCTTACTTCTACACATGGCTTTCGATATGCGTTTCTTTGAATCATGTTTATTTCCATCACAGAGTGCGACATAAAGATCAGGTTCAAATGATTCTACCAAGTCCATATATTTATCGGCAGTAAATATACTTCTTCCTTCTCTAGACCATACCGATATACTATCAGCTTGTTGAAATCCTAATGGAGTTGTTTCAGTAGGATCTTGTATCGATAAAAAGTTGATGTATTCCTAAAATACAAATGATTTAAAACTTAACTTTTTTTATATGGCTATGTCGTTAACAAGTAAAACGACATATAAGGAAACTGTACGGATCAGTTACAATACAAACATACTTATTACAAAGTAGATGAAGGATAGGATATTACAATATATCAATGGATGACCATAATGAATGATAAGGTATTAATAATGTGTACAACTTTATTGTACATGACTATAGTTTCCATTAATACACTGTGAACATGAAACTATGGGTGACTACAGCCACATCAATAAGTTTAAAGAATAATAATAATAATAATAGTTTATGAATTATTCGATTACCTTCATACTAACAAATTCTGCGAAAGAAACATTCAACTTCTTAATACATTCTTCCATTTTTAAAGTAGATGGTAGTGAAATAGATAATAAATGCTGTTGCTTCGTAACAGTTTTAAATACATCTTTGGTTAAATGAGGAACGCTGCCTCTCTAAAAATAATACAAATTAATTTAATATCAATAACAATTTTCATTTTATTATTTAATATGTCAATGGAAATGTTTACAATACCTTTGTATAAATTAGAAGAAGTGGTGTTTCAAAAACAGCACTGGGTAATCTTTCAAAATCCTTTAGTGTACCAATACGTGGGGCACAATGTGTTAATGAATCAAGAATGAATTTCATTTTAATTATAATTTAATTATAAATATTATATATAAAAGTTATTTTTTAATATAACCTCAATTGAATTTGTACTGTCAAAAATATAATTTTGTTTATATAGCTATAAATTATGAAATATAACCTCACTTAAAACTACGCCATGAGATCAAAGATAACCTCTTCGAAAATCTTGTTCGATTTCTAACGTTGCTGCATTAGATATCAACCAATTAGACGAAACTTACTCTTGAAATTTTAGCCAATGAGAAATGTATTATATTTGGCTATCGTAATTGGTCAAATGTACTTGTCCAGCTGGGAATTCCTAGATCAGAAAGCTGATTGGTTATTTATTATTCAAAATTATTGCGCGAAATTTAAAATTTGTCATATATATATTTAAAGTTTTATATTATAAAATGAATATTATTATTAAATTAAATTTTAATAATTGTATATTTAATGTTTGATATTGTTCACTGGGCATTTATTTATTGTTAACAATATGAATTAACGATACAAAACGTTATTTAAAATTAATGGCATAAATTAATACATATTTTTAAAAGTTACTTAATAAAACAACGTTTATAAAGAAATCATAGTGACGAGTAATATAGTTTAGTATATAAATAATAGGAAATAATTAACATATAATTAAAAGAAGAAATGAATAAAACTTAATAATAATTATACAATCCTGAGAATAAAAAACAATGAAGTAACTTAATAAAAATATTATTTAAAAAGTATTGCAAAGTATATAATAATTATTATAACATTTAAATACTTAAATTAAGAAAGGATTCGTTATATATATTTAAAAATATATACTTATATATTAATGTATAAAAAAGAAGTATAGTAAATGAATTTTATTCAAAATTGCATTTACTATATGTCAAATTGTTTAAAGTTGTGCAGATCCACGCCATGCGGAATCAAAACCGCATGCCGTGTCAGAATCGGAATCATTATTTTGTTGATTAGTAGGAATGGCAGAATTAACGGAAGATGTCGAAGTTGGCCGACGATTGGTGATCTGGTTTTGTCGGATCGTTGCTTTACCTTGAAGTAATGGGGTATTGGGTTGACTTGTAGTTTGCTGTTGATCCCTTGAAAAATCCTGGTTTCTTCTACTTCTTCGTTTTTTAACTGGCGCATATTTTGGCGGTGGCATTACCTTCTGATCTAATTTCTATATGAAAAGAAAAATAATTAAATAATATATTTTCTTTCATAGTTTGTCCGTGTTTCGGTTATTTTTATTATTTAATTATAATTGGTACTTTTTATTATATAGTTTGTATTTTATTATCTTCTTGTTTTATATATATACTAGGGGTGCCCCGTCCACGCGTTGCTGTAGCTCACAATCAGTCCGATACACACGTCTTTAAGTCAATTGCAATTATAAATTGAGATATAAACTATCCTATCTTTCAAGTTGAATGAAACTGCACACAGTATGCAAATTTTTTATTAAAATCGGTTCAGTAGTTTAGGAGTCTATTGCGGACAAACAACGTGACATGTAATTTATATATATTAAGAAGATTTGTATTATAATATATTAAATATTATTTGAATTGTTTTTATTAAGATATTAATTTATTGATACAATTAAATAAATAAAAATTTAGATTTACCTGTACGTTATCCGCAGAACCCCATGACTTATGAATCTTCTCGTTATTGTTGTTGCTGCTACTAGTTGCCACACCCAGAAATTGGCTGAATGCTTCCGTCGTACGTTTCACGCGTACGTTCAACGAGCCAATTCGTAGGAAACCAAGATCTTTCTCTGTATGTTTAATTAATCATTTTATTATCTCGAGCTTATTCGTGTAATTAGGTATCATTATATCAATTAAAATTAATCTGATCAAAAACACTGCATCACACAATAAACAATAGCATATCCTTATAATATAAATTTCAATTTTTGTCGGAAAATTTCTTCTTCTTCTTTTTAATTAAAGAATTGTAACATATAATTTAAATAAAATAATAAAACATAATATAATATATAATTTTCTTTTTAAAATCAAATATCGATAATGAGATATATATTTATTATTAATAAATAATCTATACGAAAGTAAATAAAACCATTAGATAATAATTTGGTTGATAAACAAAATTTGATCATGCTCCCCTTACCTGCATGCTTTTTCCTTGCTTTTATTTCTGAAATAAAATATTAAATTATTACAAAATAATGTCAATCTATTCGCCGCTTTTTGAAATGCGGCTTCAACTAACATAAGCTTGCCGATGTAATAATAAAAAGCAAGAGAAGAAATAGAGAGAAAGAAAGAGAAACAAAAATTAATTTATAGACAAACGTGATTTTAATCAAGCGATCATTCCAGTCAACAATTATGGAAACACAAATCTATAAAAATGATTAGACTTAGATTTGTATACTTTATTCTTTACATTAGTTAGACTTAAGATTAAAATGATACTAATAGAGTAAATTTAAAAAAAAAAAAAAATCATCTATCCAAGTTACAGGAAGCTTTTGCAAATTTACCATTATTGTTAAACAAAATTATTTCTTTCCTATTAACAAATTATTTTCTACTAGTTAAAAATGTAATAACAAAGTACAACAAATTTCTAAATAAAGACTTGTTGTTTAGATTAGAAAAGAAAAAAGAAAAGAACAAAAATATAATTAATTTTGCATTACTTTGACCAGAATGATCCCTTAAAAGATGATAGAAAAGTTTGAGTTATTTAAAGTAGAGAAATAATTATTATTAATTATTATATTCGTTAAGTTATTTAATGAGAGCCTCGATCACAGCATTTATTTGCAGATTTTAACGCGACATTCGATTAATAATAGCGCGTTTATAATTATTCTTAAATGAAAATTAATGATCGTACATTTTGTTCGTTTGAAACAAACAAAATTAGCTAGCTTTTCATAGTGAGTGTCGATCATAATTCAAGCGTTATTTGAGTTATGCGAATGGGAAGGTTTTGTGGGATAAAAGAGGATACAAAGGTAAGATTAGTTTCATAGTTAGTTGACATGTTCTATAAATAATTATTTTGTACCATTAAATTAACATTTGATATGGTTAATTATTGTTATCTTGAAAATTAGTATGATGCAAAAGATAAGATAAGTAAGTTAGTAGTTTAAATTTTCAAGTATATTTTTGGTCATTATTTCATATCATTTCATACTTCGTTGCACACATGCACTTTATTTTTACGTGTAACATTGACAGCGAAAAAACGATAACGATTTTTGTGACTGAAAAAAAAACAAGAAGCATTGAGGATCTTTATATATATATTTCTTTTGTGCGCATTTTTGTCATTGAACTCCTAAACGGCTGGACCGATTTTAATGAAATTTTGTGTGTGTCTTCAGGTGGATTTGATAATGGTTTAGATGTACAATTCGATCCAATTTAAATTGTTTATTTAATTAATTTTTTATTTATAAATTGTTATGCGAAAAGTTTATAGATTGAAGTTAGTCGATATTCGAGTCGATAATCGAAAATATTTTGTAGCTTCGTGTTATTATTTTGTGTTACAAAAAATCGTGTGCTAATTGAAATATTACATTAAGATTTAATTAGTGTTTGAAGAGTTTTGAAGTATGTAATGACGTTAGATATCGTAATAACCTTTTTCAGAAAAATTTTCATCAAAATGGTCCAGAGATTGTTACAGCTTATTCCAAAAAGTTTGAAATTTTTCGAATTAAAGACGTAAAAAAATTTTGTACAAAGTTTGAAAAGCAATTGATTTTTTATTAACAATAAGATGATAACTCCGTTATCGTTTTCAGTTGCTAGTTACAATTAATCCAATAACGTTATATTTTTTGTTTTACGTGCAAAAGAGGTGATCTACTACTGCCACTTTTGCACATGTCGCATATTAACAGCAAAATAAAGCACTTTTGTCAAAGAATTATAACGCGACGATAATAATTTTACAAAAAAAAAGAAAATAAATAAATAAATAAATAAATAAATATACAAATTGTGTTTTAAATAAATCTAAAAGCAACGATGTGTTTCCCGTTAAACGGCGTAACATTAGTATACGAGAAAAATAATATGATTTTATCTTAAGAATTAATTCTAACCAGCATATTATAATAACAATAAAAATAAAATCAAATAAACAATAATAACGCAAATTAAAAAACAAAAAATTATAGCTTAACGTTAAAAGTTCGTTCGTCGAGTCATTATTTAGATTCGTGTAAAAAGTCAATGAAAAAAAAAATTTAAAAAAAAAAAAATAAACGACAAGAAACAAACAAAAACAAATTACCGAGTGTACAAACGATTGGCGTTAGATTTTTTTTTTTTTGGTGCGAATAAAAGCCAAAAGATTACAACAAATATCACGAATTAGGTGAGGTAAAAAAAAAAAAAAATAAAAATAAAAAACAACAGAATAAATGAATGAGAATAAAACGAATCGTGACGAGCATAAAGTTAGAAATTGATCGGTCCACAATTATGAATCATTTATAATAAAATTAGAAAAAAAATATGTCAACATTATATTATCTATGATCACATTCAATCTTCCTATAACACGATATTAAAATTTGCTAATTTATCTGTAACATTGGACAATTCTAAACTTAACAAAATTCATTTAGTACAAATATTGATTTGAAATAACTTATGTTGTTGTTTAACACACAATTTAAATGTAACGTAGGATGAGATTTGATCATGCTAGAAGAAGATTGATCGTTGTATCATGATTTAATTAATGATTTGTTTAAAAAAAAATGAATATTTATATACTTAAGTGGACCTAACAATTTCCAAAATACTCACGTTAGAGTGTAGATATAATACCGTTGGTACAGAATTGAGAACAGTCATACTTTACTTTTACGTGCGGTAAAATGAATCTTGCGACAGAAGCGCTTTACTATACTAGCAGAGGTGTGCTTCTGAACTTGCCTGAGCGTAGCAGCAGCAGTAATCCCTACAACAAAAGAATACATCCAGAACCCCGAGGAAAATACTCACCGAACCGAGATCCCGCAACCTTTCACTTCGACGATCTCTTTAATATCTTAGTCTAAAGTGCGTTGAACGATATAGAGGATAGTCCTTCCGATTTCGCCGATCAATCTTCGTTTTTCTTAAAATTGTAAAAAACGGGGGTACATAGGAATTCGAATTAGAAAAGAAAAACAACAATTTTCTTCCTTCCTTTCTTTCTTTCTTTCTTTCTTTCTATCTATCTTTCTTACTTTTTCTATATCTTGTTTTATTTTTTCCTATATATTTTATTTAAAAATTTATGGGAAACGTTGATAGAAGTCGGAGAAGTATTGATGGGTTTTAACAAGCTAGGAAAATATATTTGTATATTTAAATAAAATCAAACTCATACCCACGTCGTGCAATATTTTCTTTTTTTTTTTTTTTTAAATATTTATGATTCAAATAAAATTAATAACAATCTTTAAAGAAAAAACAAAAAATTGAATAATTAATTTTCTTAAATGAAAACAATTGATAAAAAGTATCGTTCGTAAGGATGCACAACGATCGATCGATTAATTTTTAAAGATTTAAATAAAAATATTACAAAAAAAAAAAATAATACTAATAACAGTCGATTTTCAATCGATCGTTTTCCGCGAAAGGGTCAAAAGAACAAGCTTGCAAGCAGGGTCATGCTAAAATTTGATTAAAGCTGGTGCCTTCTGACAGCAATAACGTGCAATAATAAATATAAACGCATTCACAAATACAATTAAGCAGTGCTAAATTTGCTACAATAGGCACCGCTAATTATTATCTAATTAAATCTTTTATTTTTCTTTTATATTTTATTTTTCCACGAAATTAAAAAAAAAAAAATTATACTAACTTAGATAGGGGACTAATGAAAATTATTATATCAAACGTGCATGTATTAAAAATTGTTGCTTATGGTGCATGGTAACAACAAAATCTAAAAAGAAACCAATTCTTTCAATTATACTTCACGTGCAATTTTTGTGATAGGTATTTCTTTTTTGTTTTAGTTACTGCTAGAATAAACAAATTTATATAATTTTATTACTATTATTATTATTATTATTAAGTCATCCATGTCACTGTAAAATTATTTCATATGATAATAAGGATATTAGGATTATTAGGATGAATTTTAGGAATTTGTTTTTTTTTTTTTTATCGGAATTTCCTGTGATCGATCGAACACGATTTTTGTTTTTACTTATATTTAATTCATATTGTTTTTTTTTTTTTTGTAAACGATTAATCGATATTAAAAATAATTAATTAAAAAAACAAATGAACGAATCATTATTTTTTTTTTTTTATTTTGGCGAGATATTTGAGTTCGTTTGAAAAAAAGGCAGCGGTGAAATTTAGATTTGGTCGGTAAAAATTTGTATATTCGAAAGCGTATTTCAACGAATACCAAAAAAAAAAAAAAAAAGAAAATATTTGTACTTACTGCGGAAGGTGTCCTGGCTAACTGCGGCCTCTTGAGAAACTAAATACTGTCTTGCTTTCTTACCACTGTAATCACGTATCTCTTGATTCGCACCTGAAGTATAAACGTTGCGAAATGTTTCTTACAATTTTGAAATCATTAGAATGTTGTATAATCAAATTGATATATAACTTACCGTATACTTGTACTAACAAGTTAAAAACGTTTTCATGATCGAATTGCATGGCAATATGCAATGGCGTATAACCCTGAAAAAAGACAAATGTTATTTTAATTATTTTGTAAAATTAATAAATATCACGTTTTACACTGAAAACGTTCAAACATTGACTTATCTACTTGATTTTTTTTTTTTTTAACTAACGTAAAGATTCATTTAATATATTAAATACTTTGAAAAGTAATTTCATTTTTTGTACAGTGATTTTGTTAATTAAGTTTATTGTTACCAAATCATAAACGAAACGGTACAAATTCCCTAAATTATTTAATTTCATATTTTTATTTATTATATTAGAATAAACCAAAAGTTTATGTGTATTTATCGTGTTTTATTGAAATCACAATAAAATTACTTTATACACGTGTACGCAGTCAAACGTTGTCACAGGGGCCCGGTAATATTTTTCCAGAATTAATTTTAAATAATAAATAAAATAATGACCAATGTTCCGGCTATCACACACATGTTGTGTGAGCGGTCATTAAAGTGTTAAGAAACGCACAAACTTTTGGGGACACCCTAATAATACACTGACACAACTAGATTTTATACTAAAAACATAAAATATTACAAATTCTAATATAAATTCGATCCCAAATAAGGATTACACGTTACACAAAATCTGTCACAATTTATGAATAGTGTTTTCAAAAGAGTATAACATTAAAAGAAGAAGAGGGGGTTGAGTATATAAAGAACAATTGGTTCCAGGAGTGTACTGTGAACACACGGTCTCTGTCCAACAATATGATCCATGAGTTTAAATCTCATCGAAAGACGAAATATGCAGTAACACGGTGACATACGAGTTTCTATCGTTCCAGTAGTGTTTGAAACTTCAAAAAAAAAAAAAAAAATAAAGAGAAAAAACGAAAGAACAGAATAGAAGAGAAAGTGGGGAGAGGGTGGGCAGGATGATCGTGGGGAAAGAAGAAAAAGACGAAGAAGAAAAAGAAGAAGAAGAAGAAGGGAAGTTATGATTTAGTTGCTCGTAAAGGCAGTCCCGTTGTAAGAAAAATATTAAAATTGAAAATCTTGAACGTACGCAGAGTGATATACGCGTGCGTGATATTGGTGGCCGGCAGCTGTCCTGTTCCCGAAGAGTGTCGCGAAAAGTATGGGGGGGGGTGGGTGTTGGGGGAAGAGTTGGAGGTGGGTATAGGAACCAAAGAAGGTGAAGGAAGATCTAGTTGGTGAAGAGAAAAGTGAGAGAGAAGTGTTGAATGTCTCAGGGTGTGGCACGATATTGTCTCGAAGCTTTCGGTGACTCTGCTGCTAGGACAATGCTACTTTAAAATATTGTCTAAAGTATAAAAAGAAGGGACAAAAAAAATAAGGGAACGTTGAAAGTTGTCCCCCATATACTGGGTGAGCCTATAAGAACAATCTTTGAAAATATTTTAATAAATTGTATTACGTTTTTAAGGGTGAATTTGGATGAATACGATTTAATTGGTTTTTTTATATTTTTTTGTTGTTGCAAATATTAAGGTTACCCTTAACTTTTTTTTGTGTAATATCATTTTGTTGTTGATAGATACGCACAAAAAGAAATTAAATAAATGAACGAATTTGGTAATATAATTGAATATATTATATTAGATTTAAAGGGATGGATATAGATTTATTTTTATATTATAAAAATAATATAATATAAATTATATTATTTATTATAAAATAAAATAAAAGTTATTATATATATATTAATATAAAATTTTTGTTTTAGAAATAACAAATTGTAATAATTATTATTGACAAATATAAAAAAAACAAATGAAAAATATTTTCGATAAGAATTATAAAAAACAATTTGAAGATAAATAGTTCTTATCGACACACCCAGTACATAGGTACAAGTATATGTGTGTATATAAGTAATAGATACATGTATGTACGTATTAGTATATGTAGGTATGTGTAGGGAAAAGGGGTGACTAGAGGGTGTCGAGCCACTTGTCGCGAGGACACACGTGTCGCATGCTATTCGGAGTCAAAAAAGGGTGACACCGAAAGATCCACCCTCTTTCTCTTTTCATCGTACCATTTTCTATTCTATACAGTATGGACTTGTGTATATGCACGATTTCTGACTCTCAGTTACACCTATATGAGACGCGGGGATTTTAAAGTGAAATAAATTAGAACCGATGTTCGTCCAACCAGTTCTGTCTCTCTCGTTTTTGGTTTCACCCCAGTTAGAAGGGTTCGGACAAAAAGGGTGCGGTACATTTCTGACTTTGATTACAATGAAACGTTGCCTGATGTTATAGGCAAGCACGTTTGTCATCTTCCCTTATTTTTATTTTCTTTCCTTTTTTTTTTTTCTTTTTGAATTTTATTTTATTGCGTATAATTCTTTAGAGTCTTTTCATAAAAATGATCCTAAAAATTGAAATTTACATCATACTGATCGATTCATGTGTTGAAGATAAGTTATTATAAAAAACTGTGGACACAGATATTACTTTTTTTCTTTTTTTTTGATTAACAATGTTGAAAGTTTATATTAAAATATCTTCAGATACCCATAAGTAGAAATCTCAATATAAATCAAATAATAATTAATCAATAAATTCAATTTGAAAATCATTATAATCTTTATCAAATAAATATTGATAGATAGAAATAAATAAAATCTTGATTAATTTAAAGAAACTAAAAACAAAAGTAAAAAAAAAATAAAAAAAAAATTAAGACAGATCGTTGGTTCAAAAAATATAGATAAATGTATTAAATTAATCATATAGAAGATCAACATTATCGTTCACAAGTTCCTCAGGCAAGGTTTCGTAAATTATTTAAAAGATAAAGATCATACATTCTCTCTCTCTCTCTCTTTCTCTCTCTCTTATTCTCTTTACCTTTTTCTTTCTTAATATTGAATTATTAATTCTTAGACAGTACCGGATGCACACGGTACCTATCCTGGTACCGGTATGCGTTCTTCTGTTCGATTCGATCGGCGAATACGATCGAATCCACATAGCACGTTATATTATCCCGGTAAAACGGAGAACTTGCTTGGCCCAACGGGAGCAGCTGTTTCCTGACGAGCGAAGGAAAAGTAAGTAATTCCCTCACCTGCCTCACCAAATGATTACTAATTGCGAGATATCGTCCTCTCGATACTCACTGTCCTCCAAAAAACAAACTGAGAGAGATGGAGTAACATTTTCAAACTTGATGAAAGTTAATCGTGTATATACAGGGTGTCTTATAATTGGTCGCACAATTCTAGGAGGTAAATGATTCTTCTTCGTGATAAACTTAATCGAATATGTTGAATATTATTTGTTCGTATGTGTGATTTTGTTATTGAGAAGAAATTATTTTTGATAATTTTTTGTTAAATACGCGTTAATGAATTAAATCGATTGAATCTCAAAAACGACTTTTTGACCTATTTTTACTAATACTTTTTTACTTAGTATAGTGTATTCTATATACTATATGAATATTAAATGGGTTTTTTGAACACCTAGTATATAGTATAATGTATTATAGTATTAAAATAATTGTTAATTAAACGATGGGAATGTGCATTGATGTTTAAAAGCTCGAATTATATGATCGAAGTACTGTCCTCTTCGAAATTCACCTTCAGACTGTAATAATAATTCTAATAAAAAGTAGTTTACATTATAACGCATTCAGATTTTAGAATTTGTATACATGTGCAATGTCTGAAAAATCATATAAACAATATTTAATATAAGAATTTTGACACAGAGAACAACCCGTCAGTCTGAAGGTAAATTTCGAAGAGGACAGTACATAGATCATTTACTTCGAGCTTTTAGAAAACAATAGACATTTTCATCGATTAATTAACAATTATTTTAATACTTTATTACACTTTACCTATATTAGAATAATTATTATACAGGATGTTCAAAAAAAAAATCATTTAATATTTATAACGTTATTACTAAATTTTCGATGTTTACAGAAATTTTATTTTTTTTTACTTTCATTTTTACCTTATATCCTATATACTCTATAAATATTTTTTTGAACACCCTGTGTATAGGTATAAATATAACACCCTTTCTGTATTTTTCTTGAAATATCGTGTTTCCCTTATCGTTTCTTTTTCTTCATTTTATTCTCCTTTTCATCCGTGATTTACATATATTTCGTGTAAATCCTACCAAGAAAAAAAAAAGTCAGGTGCGAAGTTAAACGTCGTTATCCGTTGCTTTTACTGATCGTTTATGTCACGTCTCTATCTTATAAGCATTGGACATATGTTTCTCAGCTTGTACAAGACCATCGTATTGATTTTTGTCTTGGAATTTATATACTTCACGAGAAAATATCTTTTGATAAGTAAATATTAAACTCATATTATATTTTTTGTTCTACGAAGTAAAACACGATGATTATTAGAGAATTTAAGAAGCTTTTTACAAACGATTCTTACCTAACACATTGTCGTAACTCAAAAGGGAATCCCCCGTTTTTGTATTGCACCAGAAAAATCTCAACACAAGTTTATTAATTACTAGATATCCCTAGATAAAACGCGCCATCTACATTGATGCATTGATCAGCGCCAAATTTAACCTACATTACATACAGCGCCAATATAACCTACATTCCTTTATCAATAAAAATAAACCAACATTTAAAAAGAAAATTACAAATTTGTATGAAACATTTTAAAGACAAAGTTGTTGTTTAAAAACAAAATTAGCATTTGATGTAAAATACATTGTTATTTTAAAAAACGATTACTTATAGAGAAATTGTGATATTATTTATTAGTCAATGTAATACATATATTGACAAAGATAAACAGAAAAATAGAAAGAGAAAGCATGTAAATGAAGAAAGAAAATAAACGATCGTCCTCTATCTCTCGTAGACGTTCACCGTTTCAATCAGTTTAGACTCGTTAACGCGTAGCGGAGCGTAGAATGGTGCATAAGGTTCTTGCGGATCGTACGCTTGTCGCGGAAATGCGATTTCGCACGCTCGAGGTGATATCCATAATGGTGTGCCATTAATTCCTCATTGTCTCTG